AATGCCATTGACCCGAGATTCTCTTCCTTCCTCTGTGCCTATAGCTCATAGATTTGGTCTTTTCATGGTGTCCTGTATCTTTTGCAAATCCCATTCCTGTGGTTTAATTTTTTTTCATATTATTTTTTGAACTGTCCAGTTCTCCACCTTTATCCTTTAGTGTGATGTTCTGTTTTCCATTTGAGTCATCTGTTGGTGAGGCTTTCTCCTGTTGTTTTAAATTGACTTGAGTTTTTCAAGTCCACCTTCATTTCAGCTTGAAAGGTCTTCAATATCTCTATCTCTTTCATGAATTCGCCTTTTAAATCCTGAATTTTGTTTATCATTTCATCCAGCCACATATTTGTATTTTCTCTTTTTTAAATTAAAACATCTATTTATTATTTTTATTTTTATGTGTATGAGTATATTACCTGCATGTGTGTAAGCATGCCTGTGTCATGCAATGCCTGTGGAGGTGAGAAGGTGTCAGATTCCCCTGGAACTGGAGCTATGGATGGTTGTTAGCTGCCATGTGGGTGCTGGGAATCGAACCCAGGTCCTCTACCGGAGCAGCTAGTGCTCCTCACTGCAGAGCCATCTCTCAGACCCATATTTGTATTTTTTTGAGCTTCAGGGCGGGAGTTTATTCCTGTCCCCTTTGAGTTGTCTGTGTGCTCTTTAAAGTCCCTGAATTCTTTGATCACGTTTATGGTTGTTCTTCCAAGCTATGTCCTGGGTTTCCTCTGGGTGGGTCTCATCATAGAACTTCTGTAGGACTGCTGGGATTAATTATATCATTTAGATTTTTATACTGTTTGTGCTTTGTATTGTGACCTGGGCACATGGGCTTCTTCTGTTGGTGTGTCTGATAGGAAGGTCTAGCCTGCCTTTGTCAAGTTGAAGTTTGCTTCTGATTCTGTTGTAGCTTGGCTGCTTTCTGGTCACTTACGAAGGGTTAATTGCCCTGCTTCCGATTTTCACTTTTGCTGTTTTTATTGGAGGACTGAGCTGCTCCAGGCAGGCTGGGCCTTGCCGTCCTCCTGCCTCAGTGCTGCACCACCAATCCTGCCTCCCTCTTTCCCTTCTCATGAAGTCAGCGTGTTCTCTGGGCGCCTTCCTGCCAGAGCCGGGCATGGCAGTGACAAGAGGGCAAAGATGAAGGCCGACCCGGGATAGCCTTCAGAAGTCCCGCTTTGCCGGCTGTCAGTTGCACAGAGGTTGAGCCTCGGTTTCCCCTTCCTTAACCTGGGACAAGAGTTCTTGGGGATTGCTCTTGGGGTTCATTGGGGGGAAGAGACCTACTCATGGTAAAGTGTGGTTGTCGTCCACAGGTTGACAGACATCTGGGGCCACCCAGACGATGTGGAATGGAGGCTTCGGAGCCCACCTGTGCTGCACCACCTGCCAGGGACCAGCCAGCCCCTACACTTGGCATTTCAGGGGGCCCAGGTGGGCAGGCCTCGCCTCGTCTGACCCTCGGTCCTGTCATCCTGCCAACAGAGCAGGGCCTGCCCCAACCTGTGTTCCTAAAGGCCTTGCCTGTCCCACTGTACCACACAGTACCTCCTGGTAGCCTTCAGCCACGGGCACCACTGGTGACAGGCAACCTGGAAGGGGCCAGTGTACCCTTCATCCTCAGCCCCTTGCTGCAACCTGAAGGACCTAGTCCCACCCCGGTGGGCAAGCCAGTCGCCCCAGCCCTGACTGTGAACATTGTGGGCACACTGCCTGTGCTGTCCCCGGGCTTGGGACCCACTCTGTCTAGTACTGGAAAGGTCAGGAATGCTGGCAAGTACCTGTGCCCACACTGTGGCAGGGACTGTTTGAAGCCCAGTGTGCTGGAGAAGCACATCCGGTCCCACACAGGTGAGAGGCCCTTTCCGTGCGCCACCTGTGGCATCGCCTTCAAGACTCAGAGCAACTTGTATAAACACCGGAGAACACAGACACATCTCAACAACTCCCGGCTGTCCTTGGAGTCTGAGGCGGGTGGGACCAGCCTTCTGGAAGAGGGAGACAGAGCCGGAGAGCCCACCACAGCAGATAACAGGGGAGATGAAGGACGACCAGAGGGAGCTCTCTCCCCAGGTGCCAAGGGCCTGGACAGGACGACGGAGGCTGCTCCCTGTCCAGGGTCCACCCTCCACAGAGAGGCCCCTGGAGATGGCACCCAGATGTCGTCCCCCGGCCTTCCACTGGCCAGTCCACCACCCAGGCGGAAGCTGCCGGAACCAAAGCCATGCTCCCTGCAGCGGCAGCAGGAGACGTGCTTAGAGAAGCCAGGGGACCCCAGGGCCTCCGAGGGCCGCCTGAGGAAGTGCGAGAGCACAGACTCGGGCTACCTGTCCCGCTCGGACAGCGCAGAGCAGCCTCCGGTGGCCTCCAGCCCCTTGCACAGTCTGTCTGAGCACAGTGCGGAGTCTGAGGGGGAAGGAGGCCCAGGTGCCAGGTCTGGGGGCAACGAGGTGGCGCGGGGAGCGCCCGGGGGCAGCCTGGAGCTTGAGAAGAAGAAGCTGGAGGAGCGCATCGCCCGGCTCATCTCCCACAACCAGGCGGTGGTGGACGATCCACAGCTGGACCACGTGCGGCCTCGCAAGACCGTGCTGTCCAAACAGGGCAGCATCGACCTGCCCATGCCATACACCTACAAGGACTCCTTTCACTTCGACATCCGAGCCCTGGAGCCAGGCCGCAGGAGGACTGCCCTCAGCCCAGCCCACTCGACCATCACCCCTCTGGAAAAGTCAAGACCCCTCTTCTTCCACTCTGTCCCCACTCAGCTCTCCACTGCAGTGGAGTGTGTCCCTGTCACCAGAAGCAACTCGCTGCCCTTCATTGAGGGTTCTAGGATATGGACGGAGCCACTGGACCCACGGGAAGCCTGTCCCAGGATGCAGAAGCCCCTGAGCCCCAGACTTGCCTCAGCCCGGTCGGGATGCCACCCTGGGCTGACCTTGGCACACACCCCCAGCGGCCACCCTCGGGCCCTAGTGAGACAAGCTGCTGTGGAGGACTTGCCATGTACTCCCACTGCAGACTCCACGGATGCTGCAGACTTGGATGGAGCTGGAGCTGTAGTAAGGGAGGGGACAGTCTGCAAGGGCAGAGTCTGCAAGAAGTATAGTCAGAAGAAGCCAAAGATGTTCTCCCAGGAGAAGTGGCAGGTATACGGGAATGAGACATTCAAGAGAATTTACCAGAAGATGAAGACCAGCCACCAGGGAGGCCAGAAATCCAGGGAGGTGAGGCAGGGCCACAGGACAGAACCGAACCTTCCTAGCCAGAAAGAGGTGGCCGGGAGTAAGGATGCAGCCCCATCCCAAGACAGAACATCTATTTTGGGGGACAGTTCACAGGCCAAGCCAAGGTGTTGGGGAAGTCAGCCTGCACCAGAGGGCTCCTTGGAGACTGAGTCCCCTAAGCAACTAAAGGCAGTGACCAGAGCCAAATCATCTCCCACCCTTGGCAGCAAAAACACCCTCTGTTTGAGCAGCAGGAGCCCTCTGCTCCCTCCAGGTGAGAAGCTGGGGTGCCAGCTGAGCCCAGGGCCTGGGCCCCTCCAAGGAGTGGACTTAGAGGCTTCTGGGATGTCTTTGCCAGACTCAGGAAGTGAGGTCACAAAGGAGACTTGCCCCTGGGCCCAAACTGTCCTCAGACAGTCCAGCGATGGGTTTGGGGATCCCCAGCCTGCAGAAAAGAAGTTCCCCTCAGAAAGGAAGAGACTGAAGGTGGAGGGGCTGGACCCTCAGGAGCAGCCAGAGCCCCTGGGAGCAGGAACTTCAGGGAGCTCTGTGCAGACCGTCTCCCGGCCACCTCAGAAACAAGACAGTGATCCTGGGGAGCTGCTGGCTGGATCATATGAGGGTGCCCAGCAGGTGGCTGCAGTCCACAAGTCCGTTGATGCCTCCTCAGCTGTTTCTGATGCTGCCCTGAGGTGTCCAGGACCAGGGGACAAAACGTCCCCATTGCCTTCTGTGCCCAGGGTCCCTGGGCACCACTCCCTGCCAGCTGCCCGGCCTCAGACTCCTGGCATTCCTGTTGCTCTGGAAGATGACACCTTTGCCCCCAAGTACCTCCTCAGGTTACCTCAGGGAGAGAACTCCTCACCTCCTGCAACCCCAGGGCCCGAACAAGGCCCAGACTCTCTTTGTACAAGTATTAAGTCTGAGGAACAGGCTTCTCTTGTTGGATCAGGATTAGGGACACCCTGGTCACCTGGACCATCCTCACACCCTGCCCCAGGTGAGGCAGAGGACCCCAGCTGGTCCAAGCCGATAGATAGAAGGGAAGGGGCACAGATGGGAAGAGAGAAAGGAGGCGAGGCCAACAGCAGCATCCCAGCATCCAGAAACTCTCCTGGCTCCAGCACAGGGGCCACTTGGGGGGTAGACTCCATCCTGCCTACTTATACATCTGGCACTCATAAGGCCCAGGACATGAAGGGTGAGCCCCATGCCATCCATTATTGCTGTACAGATAGCCCATCTGTAATAGCCAGGACCTCTGGGGGTCTCCTGAACCCCTGGACATTCATCCAGAAGCTGGGAGTGCCTCCCAAGAATGCTCCAGAAGGCCCTCTTCCAGAGCCCAAGGCAGGGCTCCCTGCCTACTGCCCCTTCCAGGCCCACCATCTCTCCACATCCTTCACAAGGCCCCAGGGTGTATCTCTAGGCCAGCCCAAACTGGTCTGGACACCCCACTTAGGGATGCCTCACTTAGGGACACCCCATTTGGGGGCTCCCAGGAGCTGTGGGGCCCAGAGCGCCTTCCCCTCACTGAGGGCTGAGCCCCAGCTCACATGGTGTTGCTTGAGCCGCAGCCTGCCCGTGCCTTCAGAACAGCAGGGGGCGGCTTCTGGGCACTCGGCTCTGCCTGATAGGAGCCTCCAGGATGAGGGCAGTGAAGTGTTGCGCAAGTGTGATGGAGGCAGGATCAAGACAAGCCAAGGAGGCGGAGAAGGAGGAGGAAGAGGAAGAGGAGGAGGAGGAAGAGGAGCAGGAAGAGGAGGAAGAGGAGGAGGAGGAGGGCCTATGCAGGCCCCTGGGGTAATAGCAGCTTTGCTCTAGACCTGGGGGCTGGGGGAGCATGTGTGTGTGTGTGTGTGTGTGTGTGTGTGTGTGTGTGTGTGTGTGTGTCTGTCTGTGTCTGGGGGGAGCATGTGTGTGTGTGTGTGTCTGTGTCTGTGTCTGTGTCTGTGTCTGTGTCTGTGTCTGTGTAGCTGTCCTTGTGGCTGTTACCATATATTATAATGCCCTCTGCTCCCAGGGAGGCTGAGGCTGCCATCCATAGGGTGGGAAAAATAAAGGCCCCAAATATGAACAAAACCAAAGAAACTCATAAAAATAACAAAACAAAGAGCTATTGTGCTAGGGGCTGGGGACGTCACTGAGTTGATGAAGTGCTTGCCACACAAACAGGAGGACCTGAGTTTGATCCCCAGAACCCACACTTAAAAAGCTGGGCATGGTAGCAGGCCCTTGTAATCCCAGCTCTGGAGAAGCTGAGACAGGAGAATCCCAGGGGCTCACTGGGCACCAGCCTAATCCATGAGTCCCAGGCCAATGAGAGAACTTTTCTCCAAAAACAAGGTGGGTAGCTCCTGAGGAGTGACACCCAAGACTGACCTCTGATCTCTATATGCATATGTGCTTGAACATGCACATATGTACCCACACAAACGTGTGTGCAACACACACACACACACACACACACACACACACACACACAAGAACTAGAGCTTCCAGGTGAAATGTTATTCATGATTAGACATAAAAGAACTTAATTCTGAATTTCCTGGTAATAGAGACAAAAAACAATCTCTCTAGAATTTGAGAATCAAAACTATAGACTCTTATTGGGAAAAACTCCAGACAGAAAACCAAACCAAACAAGAAGGAACAAAACCGGTTACAGAGAGTCATTATCCCCGGAACTCTGCAGAAAGTCGTTGCTAGACCCAGACGCAAGCCTGACTGAGGTTTCTGGGCACAATGGCAAGAGGGGAAATGTGGTGTATGTTCACAGATTCTCTTACCAGGTAATTAAAGCATGAGTTTACAGCCCCATCCTGAGAGCAAGTCAGTAAGCAGCAAAATCTTAGTCCTGATTGGAATGGCTCTGAGCAGGGCTGCTGAAGGGTCCTGACCTAGTTCCAATCCAACCTGATAGAACAAAGCAGAGGCCTAAACTCTTTCAAGCAACCCTGCTTTTCCCCTGGGTTGGGGAGGGAGGGTAAATCCAAGGTCTGGCTTAGTCCTCCTTTCTCCAAAGTGTGGAGATTTTTAAGGTGGGAGTATGGACTGTGGTACTCCCTAACTGTTCAGTCAACAACCAAAGGTCTGGGATTTCCTCTAGAGGTCTAGCCTAGGCAAGGTTCCGGATGGTTCTAAGCAGGTACACTCTGCAGTTACCTGGTTGGAGCACTACCCAGGCTCAGGCTGTTGGTCAATGCAGTATTTCCACACCTTGATTTTCACCCACAGACATCCTCTCTAGAGAGAACAACTCGGGGTGGTTCCCTCTGTGAGGGCTCTGAGCAGTATGATGCCAACATGCCTGGTATTTTCAGCTTTCCTACCCAACAGTCCCAGGGACAAGGGTCCAGGATCCAGTGTCCAGTGCACAGTGGAAGAAAGGAACGTGCCACAGGAAGGTGAAGACAGCTCATGGGAACAGCAGGAAGAAACTGAGGATTCAGTCCAAGAGGTAGGTTACCGGCTTCCTCTTCCCCTCCGTGCTGGCTGGAAGTCAGGAACTGCAAACTGCCGCTTAGCTAAACCCCCAGGAATTGAATCTGGGGTTCGAAGAACAGCTTGCTCCAGAGGATGGCTCCTGTTTATAGGGTCTGGGGTTCCGCATTCCAAGTCTGCCTGTTTCCCCATGGCCTGCCCAGCATGACTTCACCGACCACACGGTTTTCCATTGTTGTTTTTCTCAGGCAGGAACACAGCAAATATTTGAAGTAACTGAGCCGAAAGCACATCTGTGCAATTTAAATCCCGAGGAGAATGTTTGCCAATTACAAATTTTATGGCTTTTAAAAATATTTATTGTTTTATTTCATTTTACATGTATGAGTGTGTTACCTGCATGTATGTAAGTATACTTGCATCATGCAATGCCCATGGAAGTCAGAAGAGGATGTCAGCTTCTCTGGAACTGGAGTCATAGATGGTTGTTAGCTGCCATGTGGGTGCTGGGAACTGAACCTGGGTCTTCTGTAAGAGCAGGCAGCGCTCTCAACTGCTGAGCCATCCCTCAAGCCCCTGTTTTTAATGGCTTTTTAATTTATGCAAGCAATATGCATCCTTCACAGAAAAAAATTAAAAATCAAGAGAAACGAGGGGAACAGAATAAACTTTCCCAGTGACCCCAGACTTGAGGCTAATACTCTGAACGTTTAAGAGCACTGCCTTCTAAACTATCTCTGCTCATAGGCCGAGGGACATCTTTACGCGCGAGGTCTTACGAGCTCACCAGCAGCTCTTGGGACAGCAGTCCACATAGATCTTCATTAGGCAAGGGTGTCTAAGTTTTGTAGCCGCATCATAAACACCAGATCTCACGTGTAGCTCTCTTTCCTACTTATCTGGAGCTCTCTGAAGCTCTGAGGACATTGATCTTGCCTTTCTTGATTGGACAGCACTGACCAGAGAGGTGTGGTGGCCACCCCAAGTGTGAGAGCTACACCTTCCGGCCTACCTCAGTTCCCACCTCTTTCCCTTGTGAGATTTTCAGCCATCTTTCCCAGCAGTGTTAGGCACCTGCACTCACAGGCATTTGAATTTGCAGATCTTGGTCTTAAGAGTTGACCTTGTAGGAGCCAAGAGAGGGTACATCACTGAGGGAGGTGCTCTACAAGAGCCTTGAAAAGAAACCTGAAGAGTTGGGGCACCAAAGAGAGCAAGGGCAGTCTGAACAAGGACCTGGGGCTCTATCTTGCATCTCCTAAGTAGGTGGGGCCAGTATGACACTGGAGAGGTTTTTTATCCATGCTTTGGCCAAGATTCACTCTTCATCTCTTCCTGGACTGACTCTGACAGTCCTTCCAGTTAATTCCACTTCTGGGGTCATTGTGTTTGTTGAGTCCTCTACTTGTCTGCTTACCTCTGGCTCCTTACCTGTCCACCTGTGCCTCAGCAAGGACACCAGCACCACAATGGGGTGACTCCTGAGCATCACTGACTCTTACCTCATTCTCCACACCACTGACTGGGTTTGCATCTCTGCAATATTTCCACTGTCCATACATAGGTCTGTCTGGGTATTTGTCAGCTAAGTCCTCAGTGAAAATTCAAGCCCCGTGACCTATGACTACATCAGCCATCGATGTTGTCTATCATCTGTTTATCCATCCATGTATCTTGTTTATCTTTGTGTTCCCAGCACTCAGAATGGTGACCAGCCTGGTAGGGGTTAATAGTCACCTGGTATCATTGTGTATTGGGAGTTCACTGAACTTGGCACATGCGTGTGGGGGATACCTGAGTTATCTATTGTTATGTAGGATACACTGGCTTTACAGCAAAACCCTACTTTTTCTCAGGGTTTCTATAGCTAAGAATTTGGGAGTAGCTCTACCAAGTGGCTGTGACATGGTGTATTGTTCCTGCTTATCTGGAGTACGAGCAGAGATCTGTTTCTTAGCTCTGGGTCCTCTTCCCTCTGTCCCAGTGAGCCAGACTGATAGAAGCCTTGTCACACTTCAAATTTAAGCCCTGTTTGCCTCATGTTTCTCTTGTGAGTATCATCTTCTGCGTCTTTCATCTTGAAGCACTTGTGATCAGATGGGCTCACTTGGAGTATCCCTGGGAACCTCCATGGTAAGGCAGTGTTCAATCACACCTGCAAACTCCATTCACCATGGGAGGCCACATAAGATGTCCTCTGGTGGGGTATGGTTCTCCCTGTTACACTACTTACCTATCCATCCCCCAGCCACTAATATCTATAGCTCCATTCATCCACCTGTGTATCTGTCAACCATCTGTTCCATCCATCTATCCATCTATCCACCATCCATCCACCCACCCATCCATCCATCCATCCATCCCTCCATCCATCTATTCACATACCTACCCATCCATACACCAACTTATTCATCCTTCCATCCCTTCATTCATCCATCTACCCACTCAGCCATTCATCATCCATCCATCCACCCATCTACCCATCCATCCACATGCCCTCCCATCCATCCACACCCATCTACCCATCCATCTACATGCCCATCCATCCATCCATCCACCCACCTACCCATCCACCCATTCATCCATCCATCTATCTGTCTGTGCTGGATAGCTTTAGTGTCAACTTGGCACACCTGAGTTGAGGGAGCCTCAACTGGGGAATCGTCTCTATAGAACTGAGCTGTGGCCATGTTCATGGGGCACTTTCTTGATTATTGAGTGATGTGGGAGGGCTCAGCCCACTGTGGGTGGTGCCACCCCTGGGCAGGTGGGCCTGTGTTGCATAAGAAAGCAGGCTGAGCAGGGGCCAGGGGAGCAGGCCAGTAAGTAGTGTTCCTCCATGGCCTGTGCTCCAGCTTCTGCCTCCAGGTTCCTGCCCTGAGTTCCTACCTTGGGCTCCCTGATGAACTGTGATCCAGGAGATGTAAGATAAAATAAACCCTTACCTCCCCAAGTTGGTATTGGTCAGAGTGCTTTGTCACAGTAGTGGGGAAACTAACTAGGACATCATCCTTTCACCCATTCACTCATCCATCCATCCATTCATCCACCTACGTACCCATCCATCCATTCATCCATCCACCAATCTGTCCATCTATCCACCCATCCATTCACCTTCTCATCCTTCATTCATCCATCCACCTACCCACCTACCCATCCATCTATCTACCTACCCACCCATCCATCCATCCACCCACCCACCCATGTATCTATCAATCATCTCTCCCATCTATCCATTCACTTACCTATGTGTCTATCAATCATCTACCCAATCATCCATCCATCCATCCACCTACCTACCCATCGATCCACTCATCCATCCACCCACCCATGTATCTATCAATCATCTCTCCCATCCATCCATCCACGTACCTATGTATCTATCAGTTATCTATCCATCCATCCATCCATCCATCCATCCATCCATCCATTTATCCACCTGTCTTATTTGCGTCTCTGTTGCTGTCATCGAAACACTGACCAAAACCAACTTGGGGAGAAAGGGATTTATTTCAGCTTACAGTACAGTCCGTCACTGAGGAAAGCCAGGGCAGGAGTTCAAGGCAGTAACCTGGAGACAGGCACTGAAGTAGAGACCACTGAGGAATGCTGCTTACTGGCTTGCTCCTCCTGGTTTGGTCAAGTACTCTTCTTATACAGCCCAGTCCCCCCACCATCCCCACCCAGGGGCGGCATTGGTGGGTTGAGTTCTCCTACATCAGTAATCAATCAAGAAAATGCCCCATAGACATGGCCCCAGGCTGATCTTAATGGAGGAAATTCCTTAACTGAGGGTCCCTCTTCCCAGGTGTGTCAAGTTGACAGCTGACACTAACTAGCACACCGCCTATATCTCTATCAATTGCCTGTATCACCTGTCTATTTACCTATGTATGCATTCATCTGCCCAGGTACCTGCCTATCAATCATCTATTCACCTATCCATTCATCCATCCAGCCTGTATCTATCAATCCAATGTATCAAAGCTATCTATCAAAACACTTATCATTTACGAATTTACAATATCATCTATCATCTGTCTATCAATCACAGGCCTATCACTGACTCTGTCTTCAGTCCTTAAGAATGAACCCTATGTCATGATCCACTTTCCCATTTTTTGCTTCAGTTATCTTAGTTTCTACAGAAGATGAAATATTGCACCAGAAATTTCTCTATGGTCTTAGGTCATGAATGCTAGAATTCATATAATAGTATATGTATGTGTCTCTCTCTCTCTGTGTGTGTGTGTGTGTGTGTGTGTGTGAATATGAATAAATATATGTAAAACAAACTCCTGGCACATGATGGAGAATTCATACACACTAGCATTCTGTTACATTTGCCTCTGAGTCTTAAAAATAAAATAAACAAAACATTACATTATATTTATGTATTACATAGCACATATAGAAAATAAAGTAACATTGCAATAGGTAGTTTTATGTCTTGGCAAGTATTTCAATTCATACTTCACACTTCATACTAGACATTTATGTGTCAGTAAAATAAGACATGAGCTTGTATGTATGCGGAATTTGGCGGGTTTCATCTTTTTGTTGTTGTTTTGAGAGGGTCTCGTGTATCCCAAGTTGACTGCAGTCACCATATGCAGCTGAGGGTTACCTTGAACCAATGCTCCAGCCTCCACCTGGAGCTCTGGGATTGCAGGTGTGCAGCAGCATGCTTTGTCTGAGTCTGAAGCTTGGGCTTTCACAGGCTTTGTCCGCCCTGGAACGCACAGGCCAGATGCTTTCCTGGCATTGCTGTGGTGTTCTCTTTTCATGAGAGAAGCTGACTTTCCTCTGATGCCTCTTCATAGCTGTTTGCAGATTTTTGAAACGATGGGAACAATGTATAGGACTCTGTGGAGTCTGGGTTCTTTAGCTCTGCCTGTTGTAAGTGCTGCGTGCATTTCTGGTTTCTTGCAGCCCAGCTCCCTCTCTCTTTCATCCTTCAACTCATCCTTCTGCAAGCACACCATTCAGAATTCCTGGAGAGAAGAAAATTCTTGA